TTTTTTTTTTTTTTTTTTTTTTGAGTCAGAGTCTCACTCTGTTGCCCAGGCGTGCAGTGGCACACTCATGGCCACTGCAGCCTCAAACTGCTTGGCTCCGGCGTTCCTTTCGCCTCAGCCTTCCAAGTAGCCGGAACTACAGGTGCACGCTACCACGTCCAGCTAATTTTTGATTTATTGTAGAGACGAGGTCTCGCCAAGTTGCCCGGGCTGGTCTTGAATTCGCAGGCTCAGGCCTCGCACCTCTTCCTCCCAAAGTGCTGGGATTACAGGCTGAGTCACCAAGCCCGGCAATACCCTGCATTTTACCAGGCAACAGGGCCTCCAAAGTGTCTCCTCCATCAGTTCTATGAGAAAAAACAGAACAAGTCCCTTCACAAGGAAAGGGAGCAGTCACCTGCATAATGAACTTTGTATACCTAACCCTGAATTGTACCCCACATCTTTAAAACAAAAAAATGTAAAAAAAGAAAGAGAACAATTAGCATGTTTTTAGGCGGGATTTTCAGTATTTCAAAGCGCTTTCACATATTTTAGCCCATTTAAAGGGGCAGGCATTGCTATGACCTCTGCTTTGCAGGTAAGGATGCTGAGACAGACCCGACCAAGGTGGGGTCACACTGCTCCTGCAGGACAGAAGCTGGTCTGAGCTTCAAGAGGGGGGTCTTAGAGGCGAGGCTTGGATGAAAAAGGGGGTGGAGAGAAACTTCTAGATGAGAACCAAAGCCGCAGAATGGATGAGACGGGGAAGCTCAAGGCTTAGCTGGGGGAGGTCTCCAGCCTTCTCTCTCCCACAGTCCCGCTGGCTGCAGGACACAGAGCTTGCTGGGGGTGGAGCAGAGGGGGAGGCGGGAACCCCAAAGCCTCACTCGGGAACGTTCCTGTCTCACTCAGTGCTCCTCCGTCAGCTTCATTCATTCACACTCACCTTCAAAGGACTGACTGATCTCTGTGCAATTCATGGTGGTATTGATGCACACCCTCCAGACATCTACAGAAAATCCTTCTCCTACCCACCAGGCCTGGAACATGAAATGGAAACAGAGAGAAACACTGTCCATTAGTGATGCAACACTGACTCCCAACGGGGCTGATTCTAAAGGAGCATTCAGCCCCGTTTATTTCACAGACAGTGGGCCCTTGGGATGGTGGGTTCCAAATCCTAGAATCCACAGCACAAGATGACCCCTATCCAGAGGTGGCACTAGAGCCCCTTAGACTGGTGCATATGTGAATCCCCTGGGGCTCTTCTTCAAGTGCAGATTCTGATTCACCAGGCCTGGGCTGGGATCTGAGATGCTGCATTTCTCACTAGCTCCAGGTGATGCCATGCTGCTGGTCTGCTGAAGGATGAGAGGTGACCTACGACCCCAGAGGCTGGGAGAAAAAATGAGGCTGAGTTGGTGGGAATGAGTCAACGGCAATCTACTCCCCCAGAACCACAGGGGTGATCAGGAAAGGATGACATTAGGAGGGAAGGACCAGGCGAGACCCTTGACTTCAGTCCAAATGCGTTCATTTCCCTCTGTGCTTCTGCAGCTCCTGCCCTACCAGCCTGGGCAATATAGCAAGACTCTGTCTCTACAAATCTTAAAAAATCAGCCAGGCGCAGTGGCTCATGCCTATAATCCGAGCCCTTTGGGAGGCAGAGACGAGAGAATTGCCTGAGTCCAGGAGTTGGAGATCAGCTTGGGCCCATCACGCCCAGTTAGTTTTTTGTGATTTTCATTGTAGAGATGAGGTCTTGCCAAGTTGCCCAGGCTGGTCTCACACCCTTGGGCTCAGGCAATTCTCTCATCTCTGCCTCCCAAAGTGCTGGGATTACAAACATGAGCCACTGCACCTGGCTCCTTATACTCTATTCACCCCAAAAGTGGAATCCCCCACCACTCATGCAGTCAACAAATTTTCAGGGAGCGCCCAGCTACAATGCCAAGCACAATTCCAAATGCATGACACAAACCAATCAGACTCACTGGTGGGCAGAAATGTCCATCTGCGTCTTCTCAGTAAGTGCCATGATAGTATACATGTCCGGGGGACGCCTAACAGGATTCCCTGGGGCTATGGCTAACGAGTTTTCTGCCCCTAGTGTCTGTCTATCCCTTCCACTAAGTCTAGGACCTTTATAGGTCCCAAAGGCTTAGATGCAGGAAATAGAAAAAGAATATTCTGGCCAGGCGCCATGGCTCATGCCTATAATCCCAACACTTTGGCAGAAAGCTAAGGTGGGAGGATCTCTTGAAACCAGGAGTTAGAGACAAGCCTGGGCAACATAGTAAGATCCTGCCTGTACAAAAAATAAAAAATTAGTTGTGCGTAGCGGGGTGTGACTGCAGTCTCGGTTACTTGGGAGGCTGACGTAGGAGGATTGCTTGAGGTCAGGAGTTCAAGGCTGGAGTGAGTTATGATCAGGCCACTGCTCTCCAGCCTTGGTGGCAGAGTGAGACCCTGTCTAAAAAAAAAAGGAGATTGTAAAAGAACATTCAATCCCATTTATTTCACAGACAGAGGGCCCTTGGGATGGAAGTCCAAATAGCATGGCCCATAGCACCAAGGTGACCCCAGGCCACTCATGGCAGCTTGGCAAGAACTTTCAGAACCCAAACCAGATCTCCCTGACAGAATCTAGGACCAGGAGTCTCTGGAGTGGTTCAAATTCTGGCTCTGCCTTTGACAGCTGTGTAAACTCCGCCAAGTGTCCGCACTGCCCTGAGGCTTGGTTTCCCTACCTGTAAACCAGTGCCAGGAGAGCACCAGCCTGTTACAGCTGGGGTGAGGATCCCATGAGATGACGTGTGTGAAAGGTCTTGCCCAGGCCCTGGCACGGGATGGCTCTCTAGGTGACAGGTGTCATCATTTATGTTCTTACTGTTACGACTATTGGTCAGCGGGAGTCCTATATGTAGGCAGAGTTGGTGGCCACTTGTAGGGCACACTTTTTGGCTTTCCAAGCAAGGTTTCTGCCCCCTTATACTTCTGCAGTCTGAAATGATCAGGACTGAAGCCAGGGCTTTGGCAAAGTGTCTGGGACATGGGGGAGCTCTGTGCAAAAGCTTCATTTCCTGCCTGGAGGGACACGAATCTATGCCAAGAGGTTATTTATCAAATACCTTCCCACCAGATGGCCACAAGCTGGACACTAAAGGGAAGTTTTTCATGGGGGCACAGGTGGAATCTGGAAGGGCCCAAGCATGAGCTCTGTGGAGGGGATAGGCCAGGTGGACTAGCCACAGGGGCTGGTAAGGGGATGCCAGGGGTCACCTGGGATAGGTCACCTGGGGGACTAGGGTGGTGGTCTTCAACAGAGGGCGATGATGCTCCCTGCAGGGCATTTGGCAATGTCTGAAATCATTTCTGGGTGTTACAACTAGGGGTGGGGGTGCTACCGGCCTCAAGAGGGCAAAGGCAGGGGAGGTTGCCAAACCTTCCACAAGGCACAGGAAGGTTTCCAAACAAAGACCAGCCAGCTCCAAATGACAACAGAGGTAAAGCTGAGAGCTCTGGTTTAGAAAGTTGAATTCACACTGTCCTCAAAGGGTTTCTTGGAGCCAGGCAAGGACAGAGGACTTCCTGCAGGACCTGACATCCAAACCTGAATGTGGGATGGCCCGGAACCTTTTCACTTAGGTCACGAGTGCCGGGCCTGGGCTCAGAAGATGGGCGTGCCTGGGTAGGGAGGACAACCCCAGATGGTGATCACCTGGACCATGTCCTTGACTTTGCTTCTACTGACTCTGGGACCACAGGGGTCCTTTGTGGTTGGCGGGGAAGGGAACTTACATTGTCGATGGTGGCAACAAACAGCAAGGCCGCGGAGGTGATGTGGAAGATGATTATGAAAGCAAGAAGCACCAACATTTTCACAGGGCAGGTTGAGGCAAGGGGTCACGCTGAAAGCCCAGAGAGGGATATGTCAGACAGGGAGAAATTCAAACCTGCAAATGACAAAACAAAATTAAAATGAAAAATAAGCAGCAAGTTGGGCACGGTGGCTCACATTTGCAATCCTAGCACTTTCAGAGGCTGAGGGGGGAGGAATGCTTGAGCCCAGGAGTTCGAGACCAGCCTGGGTAACATACCGAGACCTCGTCACTACAAAAAAAAAAAAAAATCACAAAAATTAGCTGGGCGTCCCAGCAACGTGGAAGGCTGAGGCAGGAGGATCACCTGAGCCCAGGAAGTCTGTGGTAAGCTGTGACCATGCCACTGTACTCCAGCCTGGGTGACAAAGTGAGACCCCCCCCCAAAAGCAGCTTTTAATGAGGTCTTAGAAAATCAAAACCAGCTCTTCTCTTCTTTCTTTGTTGGAGACTTTACCAGACAGAAGTCTGGCATGAGAAGCTGTTCCTTGTTGGATCCAAATGCCAAATTTTCCTTGAGGAAGAGGAAGGGTGAGCACCAATTAACACCCTAATTCAGAAAAGCATCACACCTCTGGGTCAGGAGGGAGTATCTCTGTGTGTGTTAAAATGCTGTTCCTGCTACCTCAAGTCCCGAAGCTGTGGATTCTATTCTAGTGTCCTCCATATCAAAGCAAAAGTAATCACCAGACAATACAAATATATTTCCTAATGACCTGACCATTTTTATTTTCATTTTTTATTTTTTTTGAGTTGGAGTCTCACTCTGTCGCCCAGACTGGAGTGCAGTGGCTGCTCCAGGCCACCGCAGCCTCGACCTGCTGGGCTCCGGCGATCCTTTCGCCTCAGCCTTCCAAGTAGCTGGAACTACAGGCGTGCGCTACCACACCCGGCTATTTTTCAAATTTATTGTAAAGATGAGGTCTCGCCAAGCAGCCCAGGCGGGTCTCGAACCCGCGGGCTCAGGTAATCTACTCCCTCAGCTTCCCAAAGGCGCGGGATTACAGGCTGAGCCACCGAGCCCGGCTGACCTGACCATTTATAAAATTAATCCTCACTCAAACACCACTTCTTTTAATAACGATCCCCATGTAGACAACATTGGACTTCAGAATATAAACGTAATGTGTCGCAGACAACTGCCCTTTCATTTTCCTCTTTGATTACGCAGGAAAACTGCATTTCCTAGACTCCCTTGCAGTTAGGTGGGGGCTCTGGTGACTAATTCTGACCAATGGGCCAATTGCAAGCATGTGTGATTTCCAGGCTGAAGCATGGGAGAGCAGGTGTGAATTCTCTAGGATCCTCCTCCCTGAGGGAGTGGCTGACGATAGAGCAGCCCAAAAGGTGAAGACTCACATCTTAGGCAGATATTATGATGAGAAATAAGCCTTCAGATATTGAACCATTGAGATTTCTGATTTTTTTTTTTTTTACTTTAGCAGGACAGTCTGAATAAGATACAACAGAAAGAGGCTGCAAAGGGAACTGAAAATCTTGCAGAACAACTAGAGAGCTGCTTAAAAGCCATCAAAGGCAGTCAAAGTGGGACTTGTCTGAGCTGGACAAGTTCACAATAAAAGAGAAAAAATAAACATGAATGATGTAAAAAAAAAAGCATTCAAAAGAACGATTTGAATATCAAAGGATTAAAAGTCACACTTGGGGAAACTGATAAAATCTTCAAACATTTTATGACCTCTTGGTCAACAAAACTCAAACGTCAAGTGACGATGTCACATCAAACAATCTGATTGGAACAGTGCCACCCTCTAAAATCAATACCTGGTTCATTCTTTAGTTTTAGTCCAATAATTTGCAACCAGATAATATTACCAACATTTTGTAGAAAATAAAATTAATTTTTAGTTTCACATTTTATTTATATTTTTTAGCTTCACATCTTAAAATACAGTACAAATTAGACCTTATTTTCACTCTGCTGATGTTTTAGCCCCAGTTTTAAATGAATTAAGTAACATACACACACATTTTCTCTGAACCATTGAGTAAGTTGCCTAAACCATACCTCTTTTCGTCTAAATACTTTAGTACTTCTGAAAAACAAGGACACCTTCTTACATAACCACAATATGATGATCACAATGAAGAAATGTACATGACACAATATTACTGTCACATTTATAGTCTACCTTCACATTTCTCCAATTATCCCAATAGTGTTCTATACAGCTTTCTTTTTTCCTAGCCCAGATCCAATCCAAGATGATGCATTTTGTTGTAGGTCTCTTTAGCCTTCTTTAATCCGAAATAGTTCCTCAGTCTTTCGTTGCTTTTCATGACATTTATATTACTTAAGCACATCGACCACCTAATCTTGTACAATATCCCTCATATCTGTGTTTGATGTTGCCCATGATTTGATTCGGGTTTGTTTTCTTAGCAGGAATGTCATAGAAGCAAAGTGTCCTCAGGGTATCCCACTAGGAGGCACAGTATGTTAGTTGTTCATTATTGGTGATGCTAGCTTTGATCATTTGGCTATATATGATCTGCCAGATTCTTTCACAGATTCTTCCCTTTCACAGATTTCCTTTCACAGATTCTTTCACAGATTCTTCCCTTTGTAATTACAAAGTAATTTGTAGAGGAGATATTTTTATTGTGGTAAAGTCTACGTCATATAAAATTTACCAGTAGTGACAGTACATTCACAGGGTTGTACATCCATCACCACTATCTAGTTCTAGAACATTTCATCATCCAAAAGGCGACTCTGTACCCATTTAGCAGTCACTCCCTGTTCTCTCCTCCCCACAGCCCCTGGCACCAATAATGTGCTCTCTGTCTTTATGCATTTGCCTGCTCTACATATTTCATACCAGTGGAATCACACAAGATGTGGCCTGTCTTCTTTCATTTAACATAATGTTTCCAAGGTCCATCCATGTGGTGGCATGTGTGGGGAGGTATTCTGAGATAATGCAAAGATACTATTACTCATGAAACTGTCACTCTGATAACATGAACATCCATTGATATTTCTGAAATAGGATCATTTAAAATGGCCTTTTTCTGGTACAGTTCTCCCATTACAGGACTCATTACCAATGAGTCCATATACAGGACTCATTACCAATGAGCTGGGAGCTGTGTGACTGTAGAATTCAGTCTGGGAGGTTCCAGCTGCGAGTCTGTGCATCACCACTTGAAAAAACCCAATGAAGCAGCTCAGAGATTCTTCCAATTCTTTTAAAAAGGACAAATCCCCTTTGTTTAGACCTGCGTCATTCTTAGCTGCCATCGTATGCTGCCAATGCAAATAGATGCATTTAAAAAAAAAATGCATTTCTGACCCTGAAAAAAAATGCTCGTGTACCATGCTGAATGCTATGTTTCATTACTATCAGCTGGAATGCCAAAATGCCAGCTTTATCAGGCATTGTTGAGGGTGACAATGGCTTCACATGTTGTCCAGCTTAGATGATACAAGTGCATATGGACACATAACTGAAACTTTCTAGAAAATAATTTTTAAAAAGCTTTAACCCATTCTTTCCCAAAGTGTGGAATTCAAATGTTATAAGGCATGATTTTGGACACTACATTGACATGGCACTAAATAACACTGAACCATGTAGTGAGAAAGTCCCATTCTAATCCTTCTGAGTCCACCAAAGAAAAAGAGCCAGTTTGGTACTGGTCTGTCTCTAATACTTGCCAATTTCTTTTTCTTTTAGAGACAGTTTCTCACTATGTTGCAGTTGCTATTCACAGGCACTGTCTCACTACTGATCAGCATGGGAGTTCTGACCTGCTCCATTTCCAACCTGGGCTGGTTCACCCCTCCTTAGGCAACCTGATGGTCTCCTGCTCCCAGGAAGTCACCATACAGATGCTGAACTTAGGGCAGACACCCGATTTGCATAATGCACTACTGCCCAAAACTCCTGGAGTCAAGGTACTACAGGCATGCACCACCACACCTGGCCCAATTTCTCTTCAATAAAATGTAGCTCTTTGGTTAGGTTATAGTTGGTAGCTAGAATTTAATAACATTGCTTTGAGTTTATAATATTTATTTTAAGGTTCTTTTTATAGGAAGTAATACCATTTATAGTAGTGATAGAACATCTCTTTTAAAACAAATTTACTGACGTCTAAAGAGTGAGTCATTTAAGAGAAATATTATGTAAGCAAAATAACAGGTGGTTCTCAGTGTCAGCAAAAACCCTGAGGGTGCTCTCAAATGCCTGATGTCTGGGAGGCACTACTTTAAGTCCTGGGAATGATTTCGATTGGACATTTCAGACATCAGGTGCAGGCTTCTGCAGAGGAAGGTGTAAGTTTTTATAAGAGGTCAAGTAAGAAAGGTCTATGGGCATACAAAGGTGGCTAGAGATTGGTTTGAACTAGCGGGCGCCCAGAAAAATTAGGGAATAGAGAAGGAAATGTCACCTCCTATCAAGACATCTGGAATTTAGATCTCCAGTAATAAACAAAATGGAGTAAATCAATTACTGGACTTGTGAACCCAGGTGATCCCATCAGAGGCTTTAGAGGAAATTATTTGTTAAGTAAAGGAAATCTTTAAGAGGGAATAAAAATGACCCTTCACTCCTGCATCTTTATTTCAAAATAAGCCTCCCTTCTGGGCCACTATCCCTTTCGCCAGTCCTAGCGTTCCTAGTGCCGTTCCTAGACGCAACCACTCTTCTCAGTTTCCTTTGCTTCCTTTCAGACATATTTGCAGGGGTGGGGGAACACTTACTCCTCTCTCCTCCTGTTTCCGTGTGGAGGAAGCCGCACCAGAGTAACACTACAGACATCATGTCCTGCCCCTCACTCATTTTCCACTTTCTGGATTGGTGGAGCGCATCCACTAAGCAGTGCAGCGCTTTGCCCTTCCCCATACTTCCTCCCTAGGCTAGCGAGTGCCATGTCGGCTCCCATGGAGCCCCATCCATGTCCCTTGACTAGGGGGACCCAGGGTGAGGGGCTGGCAGGGGTATGGAGCTGGGAGCTCCAGCAAGCTCCTTTAGTCACAAGTCTAATCCCCATTCTCAAGCCCAGCTTTTCTGATAATATTCCTCA